CTCTGTTTGGAAGGTTTGACTGGTGAGAAGGGCGTTGTTGAAGCGGTAGAAGCTCTTACCTGTATAGCCTTCTTTGGTGAATCTGATGGCAATGGATATGGCTTTGTGGTCTAATCCTTTATGGTATGGGTTATTATGGATAGTGCAGTCTTGTATGGCCCCTGATAGTGAGTCTGATACTAGGAAGAAGTCTATTCTGGAAAATGATGTCCGTCCTTGTGAGGTTTTCCTGATGCATGTGTATCTCTTAATATCCGGATATAGTAGGCGGAAGGGATCTAATAGGTTTTTCCTGGTCATGAAGTCATTAAGGTCGACACTGTTGGGTTGAGGTGTGGGATCCTGAGAATGTGAGATTTTGTCCAGGTTGGGGTTTTGTATTGAGTTCCAATCTCACATGAAGATGGTAGGTGTGAGTGCGGGGATGTGTTGTTCTATTGTGAGTAGGAAGGGGGTTTTGTCGTGTGGGGCATTCGGTCCATAGATTCCTAAGATGGTCATCTCTTCTTCTTTAAATTTAATGTCCATTCTAATCCATATGCCTGAGGTGTTATCTTGGTTGACGTTTTGGATTTTTATTGCTTCGCTAGCTGTTGATTTTTGATGGAGAAGGATTACTATCCCTGCTGAACCGTTATCTGCTGCTTTGGCCCATAAGGCTGATTTCACGTGGGTGAGTTTCCTGGTGATGGCTAATGGTAGTTTATTGTGATCATTACTATTGGTTAGGTGTGTTTCTTGGAGACATGTTATGTCTGGGAGGTTGGGTCCAAACCATCCTATGGTTTCAGTAAGGTTTCTCCATTTGATTGGGTTATCTAGAATGGAGGCCAGACCGTTGAGGTTCCAAGACACGCAAGTTATTTCGGGTTGTTTTCTGATTTCTTTAAGTATGTCTGATTCCGTTGTGGGTCTGAATCTTTTTGCGTTGTTGTTTGTCCCACTTTCAGGTTGGTCATTCGAAAGGTCTTCCATTACTAGCTGAAACGGTCAAGCCTGATGTGGGACTGATAGATGGCTCAAGTAGGGGGGAGGGGAGTGTTCTTCTCCTTCTCATCCTTCTCATTCTTCTTCTCCTCTTTCTTCTCCTTGTCCTTCTTCAATTTCCYCAGGGTCTCCTCCTCATCTTTGCCCAACCATTCCTCTCTCATGAAGGCCGYTGTGCTGAAGGCGATTCTGTCCACTTCGTCCTTCTGGCCCAGCAGTGAGTAGGGTACCTCGCAAATCAACTCCCAGGATTTCCATGTCAGGTTCTCCCTCAGGCGAGCTTGCTGATCATAGAGGACCAGCACTGGTCTCAGGTCACTGAGCCGTCTTTCCCCGCTGTCGTCATCCCAGAACACCTGCAGACTGTCGTGTTCTATCACTTTCATGGCCAGGGGGCGGTCATCTGAGATGTTTGTCCTTGCAAACTTAGGACGTGTGTRTGAATCCTGAGYTGTGATGATGCCCATCGAGGACCGGACTGCAATCTGCCATTCCTTTTTGTCTGAGTTGTAACRGAATGGCAAAAAGGGGATTGTGGGAGAGAGGGTGCGTGCGTCCAGTGTAGCTGYCACTGYMAGATCCTGTGGGGTGTTGTCTGCGATTCTGTTGAGGGAAYGAGTCTCTGCTCCCAGCTCAAGATTTTKCTCTTGCAGAAAATTTGTTTGCCTCTCCMGAATGGCAATCTGYCTCCGTTTTYCCTTCTTGAGGTTCCTCTTCTGCCTGAGCAAGTTGTTTGCTAGGGAGATCATTTTCATTTCCTCTGTTTCCTGYTCCTTGGTGTTGATGGATTTKGGGGGTTCCTCATCGCTTGTGCCCACTATGTTTGTGTCCTCRCAYAGATAAGAATCGGGCCACTCGTTGATTTGCTCTTTTGCTTGAGGGGCTGTGTGTGAGGTGCTTGTGCTGCTGTCAGTTTCCATTGCATCATTGTGTTGATCAACGTATTGCGGGGCCAGAAATTCCGAAAAGGTGTTCTCTGCTGGCAGCGCTTCATAGCGGTTTGTGGTGGTTGGGAATCCACCTGCGGCATTTGTGCTCGACTCTTTCTTCAGAATACTGATGTGTCTTGCATGTGCCAGTCTGATTTCCAAGTCCAGCGCTCTGCGTGCCTTCAGCAAGTCTATGTATTCGTCCAGCCACTCAAGGGTGTTGTCCGAATCCTCCTCTGGCAATGTATCCTGGCTGTTTGCTGCTGATTTCGTTAGTGGTGTTATGTCCAGATGCATTTCGCTCTCCCTGCTTTTCTTGCCTACTTCTTTGGGATCATCGTCTTCATTCCTGGTCTTTCTTTTCGCTGGTCCCAACTCCTTCTTCGTGCCCTTGTCTGCGCTGGATGGTTCCAATTCGTTTCTGGACTGCAAGATTTCGAGGTATGATTTTTCTGCCTCCCGTCCTATATTGTGAACATCGTTGATGATCTGATTTTTGTGCATTGACTGTTCCAGAGAATCGACATTGCCCAAGGCGCCGTTTTCGTATCTGTGTGTGGATCTGTCATTCCTTCTGCCTCCCCCCTTTTGCCATCTACTTCCGTGCGGGGGTCTGGTTTACATGCAGGTTCTGGGTCTGTTAGAGTCCATATCCATGCTGGGTTGTCCTTGAGATCATCAAATACCCAGCCCGCATAGGCTGGGTCGTTGATGATCCAAATGCCCTTCATTGTCTCTGCTTCGACCATCATTG